TCTCTGGAACTGGGGATTGAACTCAGGCCCTTGTACTTGCCAGGGAAGCGCTTATTCCACTGAGCCATCTCCCCGGCCCCTACCCCTGCTTTTTGAGACAGGGTCTCACTAGTTCAGGCTGGCCTTGAACTCACTCTGCAGCCCAGGCTGGCCTCGAACTCACAGCAATCCTCCTGCCTCAGCCTCCAGCACTTAGGCGGCCATGCCTGTTTTCACTGAAGTGCTGATTATAGCCCTGCACCTCGTACCTGTGCCTCCTGGATTAATGAGATGGTTGAAGCTTATTCTAAAGAAGCCTGAAGTCACCAGGTCATTCATGGTCTTATTGAGCAACTTTATTTAGAAAAACACCCATTGAGTGATGCCGTTATTTTCTGTTCTTGTCTCATACTTAATAAAGCGGCGCGGGGGGGGGGGGGTGTGACCCTGTCGCCGAAGGGGTGGCGCTAGGCGCAGATTCCCTTCGTGGGCAGGCGCACCGCTCTGTGTTTACTGAACGAAGAAGCATTTTCCGGCTACACCAGAGAGTAACGTAAAAGGCTTCTTTCCAATTCAAGGTGTGATAACAGATTGTCTCATTTGCATCTGGAAACAGAAATAGTATTTTTATTTTTGTTTTGTGTGTGTGCTGCCGGGGATGGAACACAAGGCTTTTGCGCTCAGCTCCATTCTGGCTTTCTTATGATTTTTTTTTTTTTTTTTTTTTTTTTTTTAATTTTGAGGTCATTTTTCAACTAAGATGACAGGCGGGGCTTCAGGTTGAGATGCTCCTGCCTCAGCCTTGCAGAGCGCCGGGATGACTGGTGTGCGCCGTCGTGCCTGGTTTCATACCATTCTTTGACTTGTCCTCTGTCCCTTAAAGGTCTCTGTGTATATGTGGGAGAGCTTGAGATTTGGGAGGAGCGGCCCTGGGTCACTCGCCAGCCCCGCCCTCTTCCTTGGGGATCGCCACCTGCTAGCTGCGCTCCTGGGGGAATCCCCGTCACTGTCTGATCCTGCTGCTGGGGCGGTGGGGCTCGTGGGCAGCTCCAAGGTGCGAGTAGACTCGTCGCTAGCTAGCTCTTCCTGAGAGCCCTGTGAAGCGGGAAGTCTTCGGTTTTCTTTTTTAAATAGAGGTGTTATTTGCATATCTTAAAATGCTGCCATTTTAAGCAGATAATTCAGGGTTTGAGGTTTTTTTTTTTTTTTTTTTTTTTTTTTGCAAATTTATCAAATTGTGCAGTCATCATCATAAACCAGTTTTAGAACTTCAGTTCCCCCGTTAGATCGCTTCATCCCTTCTCCCTGTGAGCAGTCACCCGTCCCCTCCCAGCCCCCATACTTGAGTCCACTGCTAGTCTCTGGAGTTCCTCTGTCATGGCATTTCCTGTCCATGGAGCCCACGCTGTGTGTCTTCTGTATCTGGTGTCTCTCACTGAGCACAGTGTCCCCAAGGTCCGTCCATCCTGTGGAGAGTGTCACAGCCTCACTCTTTTTTCCTGGCTGAGTAATATTCTAGCATGTGGATGGATCTGGCTGTGTCCCTCTACCCCTCCAGGAATACTGGGCTGTTCCCCTCTGTTAGCTGTTGGGATTGTGTCATTACCTAAGAGGCTTTGTCCTGGGAGTAGGTGACCCACTAAACTGGATTTGAGGCTGTTGGTTTGGGCGTGTTTTGACGTCTCCTTTCCCATGTTGATGGTGCCCTGGAGCTCAGATCTGTCCCATCTTTTACTCAGCATCACTGAGCACCCAGATGTTGACCCCATGTGGCCAGAACGAGCTTCTAAAGTACACACTGACCGTCATTCTCCCACCTTCTTACCAGCCCCTCACCCACACTATGGACCCGAAGTTCCTCCTCTGGCTTTCACCCGCCTTGGCTGGGGCCTGGCCAGGGGGCCCCTTGCTCTGGCGCCTCCCCCTCCCCCGCAGCTTCCTGGGTCCCCGCGCCACCGTCTCCCGCATCTAAGCCGCTCCGGCCTGCCTTCCTCTCGTCAACAAAGGCACGCTGTGTGCCCGCTTGAAGCCTCAGAACTTGTGCCAGGCCCTGGGAGCGCCACGTGAATGGGACGCTTGTGTGCAGCGTGGGGGGTGTGGAGACGGAAGCTGGG